GGCGTGATACCACTGTGGCCAGGGACATCACACGGCAAGCACAACGTGGACCAGGATATTAATTTGGCCGATGCTGCGGCACAAATAATCGCTCTGATCCTGTGAGGTGGGGGCATCTTGCGGAGGAGCAATCAGCGAGACGCCCAACACACCCGTGTTATTTGCAGCCGCCCCATCATGCGGCAGCGGGTCAGAGGTTCTCTGCCCAGCCTGCTGCCTGTGGGAGCAGATGTGTTACCAGGCTCTCATCGAGGAGGGGAATGCCGGGATATCAGGTCTTACCGGCTTCGGCTGGAGTGGTAGTCCGACACGTTCCGTCGCCACGGCCATCACCAGGGGGAAGTCCTGGAAGGCAGACATGTGCGGTGGACTTCCGCGGATTCCGATGAGGCGAAGTCATCTTCTTCCTCCTCAGCAAACAGAGCCATAACCCGCACGGCTGGGATGGCGAACGTTGGTGGCATCGCCTCGGCCATATCCTGGTCTCCCACGTCCACCACCTCGAGCTCGTCTTCGCCGTGGTCTGGTCCCAGGCACCTGAACAGAGCTGGTGGGGATCGGCGCCCGCTATTAAGCCGGGCATGAGGGACAGGCCCAGGCTTCCTGCAGTGACGACTCCATTCGCTTGCCTGGAGGTAAGATACTTTTGACTTGTTTCGAATGCTTTTATCAGGTGTTATCCCGCTCGCTGAAGAGAAAAGGATGACAGTCAGGAGGTGTAGCTTATATACTGTGCGGCCGCGCACGCTTTCAGGTAGGCTCGCCCTGATGGGCCGGCTACGTTTATGCAAAGTGTGAACGCTCGCGTATCATTGATGAACAGTAGTACCCATAGAGTCCAGTAGAGGGCGGAGCCTGTGTGAGATAGAACAATGGTTCCATAAAAGTGTGTATGACATTTTGACATAGTCAGTAAATTGTTTTTTGTATTAAAGTTTGCCGACTGGTATGAATAGAGATGTGAAATACGTAAATATAACATGATAAGTGTGAGTGAGTACTAGGTTGCTACTGTTGCTGTTTGTCCGTCTTTGTTTGTTGTCATTGTTTTGTGGGTTTTATTATGTTTTGTTGTGTTGCCCCTAATGTTTTTTTTGTATTGTCTCACCTGAAAATAAAATAAAAAATAATGAAAAAAGAGATATGAAATGATCATATTAAATTAGATAACTGCACTACAAAATGTCACATCAGTATATGCTTAAAGCTAATTTAAGACTTGGATGTTAACAGGAAAAATGTGTGTCAGATGTCACAGGGGTCAGAGCATGTGAACAACCCGTTTCTGATTTTCTGAACGAGGCCATACCTCCAGAGGCCTCAGACATTAAGCTCTGGCAGCCAGCAGATAGCCACGTCCCATTAAGTAAGAGGCTGGGTGAGGTTTAAAACCCACTTGCTTGTTGTGGCCTTTAACCACTGTTGATTTTATTCAGGATGACAAACAAAAGGTTAGACAAATCTATATTGGGATTAATTTGAAATCCCATTGGAAGATTATGTTTATTTACTGCAGTTAAATAACCCTGATGAACATGTGGGCTTCGTCTGTTTCTGAAAATTACTCTAATCCGCTTCTCGATCCCTCTTCAATGTTTTGTCTTTAGTATTTTTTTCCCCTCCAACATAATTTGTTTTCTCCTTTGAATCAGCAACTTTATCAAACCCTTACGCAGCAGATGGTTCACCAGAAAAGCCTTACCAGTGTTAAATTGCCCCGGCACCACCATTCTCAATAAGTACCCTGAAAAAAAGAGGGAGGCTCTGAGGAAAACAACAGGGGGAAAACAACTCAAAGGGCCGTAATCAACAGTACATGGCAGAGATCCAGCAAGACCCTGGTACACACACACACACACACACACACACACACACACACACACACACACACACACACACACACACACACACACACACACACACACACACACACACAA